AGGAGGGTAGTAGGCAGAGCACATCCACATGTGTGTAGGTGTGGCACTGCGCAGGTCAGAGACAGGCTCCGGATGCGCCTTGGAGCATCAGCATGTGTGAACTCAGGTGAAGGTAAGAGGTCAGCTGTACTGAGAAGAACTCAGAAGCAAGCACTTGTAGCAGGCAAAAGACAAAAGGGCGCCAACTGGAGCTAGGAAAGAATATACAAAATAACTGTGTTCCAGCTGGGAACACAGAACTAACTAGGATAATCAGGGGATTTGTGCAGCAGGGCTGTTTTCTAGACAGAAATCAATTTTTTTTAACTAAGCCAGTTATTGTAATAGCTGCCAAAAATATAGTTAATAAAAATAATTATTTAAAAGTAAGAGTATAAGAGATTAAATGAACAGAAGAGCTGGTTGTATGCTTGGTTTTCTACTGGAAGCTTCCAGGCTCAAGTTGAATTGAAGGTTCATGTTTGCAAGTTTTGAAAGCCCAGAACAGGACAGGGCAGCACAGAGTCAGTGAGACGGTTTCACGCACCCTTTCTTTCCCAAGGATACAAAAGATACAGTGGCTTAGCTAGGCAAGTAAGGAGAGGAAAAGAAAGAAGCCTACATAAATCATAGGGAATGCAGAAATCAGGAATGGAGAAAAGACACTGATGAATATAAATTCAATTCATAATGAAATAGTTGTGTTCTGTTCATTTCTTTAACCCCAGAAGCTGGTTTCATGTTTGTCACATAGAACTGCACACAGACAGGTACTAAGAGAGATGAGAAAACTGCAAATCATACAGCAACAGGCAAACATGGAAATCAGTAGGTGCAAGTAAGGTGGTAGAAGTCAGGGCAGCAGTTTGTGCTTTCTTCCTGGAGCAAGGACAGTGTTCAAGTCGCCTTTCAATTATTTTGGTGTTGTTCTGAAGTTCTATTTTAAATGGTACTTTCATTCTAAAAGATGTTCTCAATGATTAAAAGTGTTGTGAAGCCCTGTGTTGGTTTGGAAAATTACAGTTTAATTTAGACTTGCTTAGGACTCCTTTGAAATACAAACGAATAGTAGGTCTAAAAATCCATAATGTACTCTGTAAATTTTGATTATATTTTCCCAACTTGTTTTATTCCCTGATTCAATAAATTATCATTGAGTGTTTAGTATAATTCATGCACAATATTTACTCAAGGTGCAGTTAATCTAATGAATTTAAAGTCTTACATTAAACATAGAAAATATAACTGTGTGTGCGTGTGTGTGTGTGTGTGTGTGTGTGTGTGTGTGTGTGTGTGCATGTGTGGCATGTCACATGAAGTTAGATTTCAGAAAACTATTTTATCTAGAAAAAAAGAGAACCTGGAACAGAATCCCTGTAAGACATATTCAAGTTGAGTTTGGGCTCATTACTGATTACCCATGTGAGCGAAAGTATATGTAGGAAGAACTTAAAAGATTACAGAATTTGTGCACCCAGAGGAAAGGAGATTACAAGGGTTTCAATTAGAATTCTTGGCCCAACCAGAGCTGAAAAGTTTGGAGACAGGGATCTACTTCATTGTAGATTGTTCAGTGGCATCCTAAGCACAGTGATTTTTATACTGAGAACAACAGAACTGTGTCAGGTTTTAAAGAAGAACATGATCCTATCAACATTGCATTTGTGTGAGGTTGTCCACACAGCCCTGGGAAAGATCAACCTTCAGAAGAGAAGATGTAGGACAGCACTAATATGAATTTATTGTGGAATTGGATTATGGGGTAGAAGAATTAGAACTAGAGAGCTAGACAATGGGAGAATTAGGAGACATTTGAAAGGAATGTAAGAAGAGGGAGTCAAAATTTTCTGTAGTGTTCTGATATAGGTATAAAAATCATAATCTATGACTTGAATAATAGGCTTTATTCTAATGGCATTCACAGAGGTTTCACTGATGCCTTTGAACTATGGCCATGAGTTAGAGATTTGAGTTTAAAACCATTAGTGTGTATCCAAGAAGTGATAGCTTGTGGATGGTCCAATGTAGGTCTGAGGTTCCAGTTTCTCATCCAGACCGTATACTTATGAGAACCACTCAACTCACCTGTTAAGCCTAGTTTTGATTAAACTTAATTATTCAACTTCAGAAAGGAAGTGGAGAAAGTAGGTCACTGAACTATGCATGCTAGATAAAATTGTGGACATTTTCTTTCTATTATTCAGTGTAAAAACTTTTACCACTTGTCTACATTTTTACCTTTGATAAATTTCATTCTGTGTTCCAATTTATTCATTTGTATAACAGCAAATGCTATATGAAGAAATATGTGAAACTTGAAGAGTAGAGATTCTAGCAAGATGTGTGTTATGTAAATATCTGTGTCACACAGAACGTACAATAATGTGTCTGGCAAAGACTAAGATGTCGGTGTCAGGATAGAATTTATGGAGAAGACTTCAGCAGACGCCCTATGCTACTTCCACAGTGTCACTGCTGCAATAATTTGACTCCTGGAGCCGTTAGAGCAAGCTGGACCAGTGCTGCCCTGATGGCTCCGCTGCCTTGTGACACTTTCCTGACACTGAATTTTCTGGTCACTGTTGGTCTTCAACACACTGATTAGATACCCTGGTTTTTAGGGTTGGAGTTATCAGACAACATAAACAAGCTATCTATCCATTTATTTTAAGTCCCTGATATATGGAAAAATATTGAATCGATGATCAAAATGGCTTTGTCAGTGCTTAATTGAGGTTCATTTTCTTCTCCATCCAGCAGTCTCCATGAGAACAAAATAATTTACCTTTGATGCTCAGTTTCAATTCCTCTTATCAAAGAACTTTTTCTTTTTACACTTTCCAGAAATTTCAATCATAAACCAAGCATTCATGTATACCATACTTGGTTACAATTGAAAGTGAAGCATGTGTAACCATATAATTTAACAATAACAGCAAGATTTGGAGAGCCTCTTACTTGGAAAAAAAATTGACAATATGGAGCAAGGAAAAAATACTCATATATACACAGAAATGTCTGCAATGAAACCAAGAAGAGTAAAATGGGGGGGGGAGTAAAAATGTAATTTCAGTGTAAAAACAAGAAATGAGAAAAGAATCATCAGTGTGATAGGAAATGAAAAGAAGAAAGAAAATCTTCATATTTTAAAGTCAACCCCCATTTTTCAACAGAAAGAACAATTTTGCTCTGACAGATTAAAACAAACTGGGTCAGCCTTCCCCAGTAGATTGCTCCATTGACTTTATCTTCAAATTTAGCTTAAAAATTTTGCTTGGGGAAAAATCATCTGTTTCAATTTGAGTTCCCATTTTAGGGACATATTGTCTCAGAATATTTGAAGTACAATTCTTTCTTTACTATTTTTGTCTTCTTGTGAATCATACACTGCTATTTTCAGTCATTTTCTAGCATTTTGGGGAAAATATTTATATCCATTTTTATGGCAACATTTTTGTGAAAATGAAAGGTTGAGAATTTTCCCTTATTTCTTAAAAAAAAATTCAATCTTAAATTTTATGATATGGCAAGACATTTTTATACTTTAAATGATTTGGTGTAATTCAATTCCCCTGGTAACCACGTGAAATAACATGTTCAGCAGGACACAAGTTCAGCAGTGGTCTCCCTTCGAAGGACTCACTCTGTTGGGCTTCCTGTTGGCCAGATTTGTCGCAAGGCTGACAGAATCGTATAACGTCGTTTTGGTGAGGTGAGTCCACTCAAACAGGAGCACAGCCATCATCTCCCCAAATGGCACAGACGGGGGCAGTTGAACATTTCACACAGTCATGGAAAAGGGTGCTGTTCTGAATGTTGAATTGAATGTCTGCTCATTTAAAAGCTTTGTTACACCCACAGCACTTGAATAAACAATACAGTAACCATTAACATGATAGCAGAATCTAAGGCTTGATAAAGGGCCATTCTAAGTGCTCCTTGCCAATTTAAAGATATGATGCAACTTGATTCCTGGAAAATTTATTGGAAGAAAGGCCTATAAACTCTTCCTACCACTTCTAGATGCTCAGTTAAGACTATATTGGGATGCTACATATGCCATTACTTTATATAATGGACAGTGATTTTAAAAATTAAACCTATTTATTAATTCATGTCAATAAAGCATACATGCATATAATGTATAATATTTGGAAATAAGAAAAACAAGTTTGAAAATTTTAGTATTCAATATGTAATAAGTACACTTGTATTAGCTACTTGTCATGTTTCATTTAGAATTTTGGGAGGGATGCTATAGACTTTGCACATGTTTGAGTTCTTATCCCTTTAAATACTCCCATCATTGCAACCCAAATTTCCATGGCTTATTGTATAGAGGACATAAAATATAAATTCTTCATATAAACAGTAGTTGAAACAAACATGCCCTCTGTTGTCCTTATTCTGATAGATCACAGCATCTAAATATTGATGAGCAGAGCCTTGGAGACTTAGAAATTTCACTGAATAAAAGAAACAGCACACAGAGAACACATACAGGGACTCACACTCCTAAAAACAGTGAAAAACACCTAAAAGCCAAAGTTTACTTTACTTAAATAGTTAACAAAAATTTATTGCAAGGTATTTTTCACTGAATTTACAGTTTCAAGGAACATGGTACAAAACATAGGGCCATCAGCTTTGTCTAAACATTAAATAGATGCAAATACACAAAGATTAGAAAAAGAACCAAGGAGCATACTTTAAACATAAATTACAGTACTATAAATATAGTTTATGTACATTATACATACTCTTAAGACCTCATTGTAGTATACAGCATATATTGTATTGACTTTCAAACTATTTAGTGCTTTAGCAATATTATATATCCGTAGCATAAGAATTTATTTGCATCATTAAACTTACAGTAAATGATCTGAAATTGCTGAAGCCATACTTAGGCCAGTTTAATTCCATTGAGTGAATAGCCATGTATAGGTTAGCGGAACACCTACGTGTCGAGCTAGAGTTTTCTGACTAGTGTTTGCTATCTGCTTGACGGTGATGACTTCTTAGAAGAGAGGCTGCAGAGGGATGACAGTTGGGTGTGGAGAAAGCAGAGAAGGAAAAAGTGCGTGGGGTATGGGTGGAAAAGCCAGGTGGCCAGGATGGAGAACCGAGGCTGGAAGTATCTGCATCTGAGGAGGAGCTACGAAGGTGGGCTGGTTCCCAGGGCAAAGCCTCGGTCCAACTGGGCCCACTGAGATCTGAGGTATAGATGTTCTGGACAAAGCTGGGACTTGGGAGAGAAACTGTTGGTGTGGCTGAAGCACTTTGAGGGTTCCTGTGGCTGCGGCCGCAGCGGCAGCTGCAGCAGCTGCTGCGTGCTGCTGCAAAACAGTGTGGTGGATGGTGGTCACGGAGGTAGAGCACAGAGGTGGCTGCAGAGGCAGAGGCGGCAGAGGTGTGCCAGGCGGTGGCAGGGGGGCTGCAGGAAAGCTGAGTTTGACCTTGTTGGCCAGCACATTAGGCTGTATAATGTGATGGTAGACCTCGCAAGGTAGATTTTTGAATTTTTCATGGTTTTCTAATGGGATCAATAATGCTTGTTCTGGTAATGCTAAAGGAGCCAGGATTTGCTCGGTTGTAATGAATGTATGACCGCTGACATGTGCTTCCTTGAAAGGTAATGGCGGTTGTGTGTTAAGGAGTCCTGAATTATAACACAGCCACTCTGATGAGGCCTCATTCGTCTTGCTTTGGGGAAGGGTCTCAGCCAGTTCATAGTGGCAAAGGTACGATTTAGGCTGTGACTGTCTGAATGTCCTTTCGCTATTAGGCACCTTGAAAGGAATTTGCTTTTCACTAATATTCGTAGGTTCGCTTCTTTCTTGGTGTTCCAGGGAGGCGGTGTCTTCTGTTTCTTTTGTTGGGGGACAAGTTTTGGTGGGATCGCTGGAAACCTCTGATGCTTCACCAGGATTGGTCTCCATCGCTGAATGCTCAGCTTCCAGGCTGCTTTCAGAAAGAAGGAGGCCGCTAGGCTCTAACACCAATTTGTCTTCTTTGTGGACTGTTGGTTCCAAGTTCCTTTCAGCATCTGCACCATCTTGTGCTTCTATTCCTTCTTTTTTGTCTTCACTTAGGAACCTGCCCAGGTGATTTACAGAACTCCTTTCCATGGAATTATCTGCATTTTCATTAACACCCAAAGTTTCACTTCCCATCTGCAATCTGCTTCTTTTTCTTCTTCGTTTCTTTTTAGGTTTACAGGGAGCAAACGAAGCACTTGCAGACCTCAACAATTCTTCAGGTAGACAACACTGTCTATTTAAACTTTCATCTGATGAGTAAGAATGTGAGTGTTGTCTACGTTTTCTGTGGAATCGTTCTGATTCATTCGTGAGAGAATTGTAACCTCTTTTAACTGGCTGATTGTGGCTCACAGGTTTTGTGTCATTTTGAAGAACTAAGAATCTGGGATCCTGACTATAGCCTGACAGTCTGGCTTTCCAGCAGCAGTAAGCTCTGGAGTATGTTAAGTGATGCATCCCAGGATGTACCGTTGCTGGACTAGGCTGCCCATTGAACAGCATCCCATTCTTCGTACATTCATTTTCAGAACTGATAGGATGGTGATTATTGTAATCAATCTTCCAGGTGTTACACATTTCTTCATTTTCACTTAAGCATTCAGATGCCGATTTAGGCCTTTTATCAGGTAAATGAGACGAGTCTAATAATTGCTCTGGACCTGAATGCTGTTTTTCTGATATTGTTTCCAGTAAGGTTTTCCTAGTTTTGTCAGGGGCACTACTCTCCATTTCCATCTTGCAGTGAGTTTCCTCTTTGGTTTTCTCCCCATGGTGATGATGCTGACAGAACGTCCTTTTCTTCTTCCTTCTACTTTTATGGAACCAATGTTCATGAGTATCCTTCGACCTTATTTTGTTGTATTTCTCATCTACAAAGTCTTGTTTCATGTGATTCTTAGTGAAATTATGTTTTCCTGTTTTCCTCATCCTACAAGAAATATTTCTAGGCCTCTGACCCATATTCTCATTTTTTCCAGAGTCACATATATTGGAAAGAGTATTGACTGCCAAATTAGGAGCAATCTGGGTGAATTCATTTTCTGAGCAACTGATTTCACAATCTGTGGACCTTGTCCCAGTCAGGCCCTTGCAATCTGAAACTGGTTGCTTGCAAAGATCTTCTTCCTTCTGCTGAGAGCAAAGATCATTTAAAGGCAGCTTGCTTTTATTGGGATTATTGTTTAATTTAGTGGACTTGAAGTCAAAACAAAGAGGATTACAACTGTAGGAAATTGATGGTTCTGTACTTGTGTAAACCAGCATTTCCGTTGGCCACTGCAGAACTGTCGATCCGTGTTTATTTAGTACAGGGACAAATGGCTCAGACTGTCTTTTATGTAGATCTTGCTTTTTAGGTAAGGTTATATTATCCACTTCAGTATTTGTAGGGGTCAGTGTCTCCATACCGCTTTTATTTTCAGTTTCAATTGTGGATGCATCATTATTCTTAACATTTTCCTCTGCAGCAGCTTGCTCAGATACGCAATCATTAGACAGATCAGGAATTGTAGATCTATTTTCTAACAACTCAGAATTGTTACCACTTACAGGTACCACTTCGCTGACAGTAATATCTTCCTGTGAGATTTGATCTGCTAATGGGAATGAAGTTTTGCAGTTGTCTACATCAGAACATAAGGGGAGCTGTACTCGGGAAAACGGAGGCAACAATAACACATCTCCTTCACAAGAGACGTCTTTCATCTCTTGAATTTGAGTAGTTTCTTTGTCAGTGCCAGTTGCCTCTGCTGGATGAAATGAGTTAGCTTTCTCCTCAGAACTCAAAAGCATCTCTGTTGGTGAAAATCGCTGTAGGTGACAGGCACTGGGGACGAACCTACTTTTTCGGCTAAATTCTTTTCCCACCAAGGCATCATCGTTGCTTTCCGAGAAGGCTGAGGCGGAGGACTCCAGCTTCACCGATGCTTTCTTTGGAAATGCAAAAGAAAAGCCAATTTTGTGTCTGTGTATTCCCTCGGCTCGGTCCCCAGCTCGGTTCTTTCTGTCTGTACAGTCTCCACTTTCAGGATCTGCAGCAACTGTGGTGACATTGTTAGTATTTTCTTCTCTCTCTAGTAAAGTATATTGAGAGTCTTGCTGCTTATTAACTGAATCCACAACTCTTCTGGAAATTTCGCTACCATTTTCTCTCACAGTAACAGTTGTTGACTTGAACATGGGGCCACTTCCAGGAGCACTACAAAAAGAAACCCGAGAGTGTGTTAAATTCGACTTTCTGGAGGAAAAATAGTCTGACACTTACAGCTAAAAATGTCACTAAGTTTTTATTTTTTTTTTAGATCTTCATATCTTTGTAAACATTAATTTACTATGATGCAAGTACTTTGTATAATCGCACAGTATCATTTTGTTTTTGACTATTTTTTGAGACACCTTAAAGATATTGTTTTGAAATGACCTTGGCAACTGTAAACTGCCACACAAACGACCTTCCTGTGCTCTCAAGCCCATACTTCTTGTCTACTTCGTTTTGCTTTGTTTTTTAATCTCCATGCCATCTTCAAGCACATTTTGAAGTGTTATGCATTTCTCTAAGGCAAAGCTATTTTTAACATAAGAAGTTGATATCATATCTCATAGGTGAATGATATGAATGAAATTAAAAATTGAAACTCTGTCATGACTTTACAAAGGTTGGGATTTGGCTCAACTATTCATTTGACCCAATATTCATGTAAACAACCTTCCCTGAGGGTCTATCTCTTCCAGTCCAAGTGGTTTACTGTGACAGAAGGACATCTAAGAGATGGGATTAGATGGATGAGAACATCCTGTCTTGTAGAATTGTGGGGTTCAATATTTGATGTTATACTGAATGTGGAAGTCACACAACAAAATATAGTAATGCAGGATAAATGAGCACTTCAGATCTAAATTATAACTGTTATGCTTTACGATACTATAAGATTTGTGCATTGAAGAACTATACCCTTCAGTGCATAAATGTACAAAATCCCTAAATCTTATCTGTACCACAAAAGACTTATCATATGCAAAATTTTCCATTTTATGTTAAATTTCAGGGTTTTGTAAGTTACACATGCCCACGCATTTTCTTTGGATGTTTTCCTCATACAACCACAAACACAATGTACAGGTCCCTTGCCTTATCTGCTACTATGTAGCAGCACCACTTTTTACCTGGCCATTTTTAGAGGCACAGAATTGAGGGAAAAGTGTGTGTGCACATTTGTACGTGAATGTGTGTATGATGAGTGGAATATGTTCTCTGTACTGAGGATAGTAATTTAGGTAAGAAATACATACTCTTTATGGTACATATATTGTTTACTCTACCTCTCTTAATATAGCTGCAGTGTTACGTGGAGAACATTAAGGTCTGTAGGTCCTATGCTTCTCTATAGCATTAACCTGTACTTGGACAATTTTCCATTTGTCTCTGAAAAATTAATGTGTCAGGTTAATATAATTCAATAGCAGCTATAGCAATTTTTATAGTAATTTCATACAGGAGTGCAAACTTACTTAAATTTTACTTTAATTTTGTCACGTTTTGGCATCCTAAAATATGACAACATATCCCAGAATACTTTGTGATTTTTTTTAAATGTATTTGGTACCAGGGTTTACAAGGTCTCACTACGTAGATCGGACTTACAGTGATTCTCCTGTTTTCAGCCTCCCAAGTTCTGGGATTACAGGCGCACACCACCATGCGTAGTCTCAGTGGCCATCTCAACACACCCCCGGGGTGGGGCCAGCACGGCAGGCCTGGGATCGAACCCCAGCCGCTACACTCTGCCTAAGCAGGTGCTTTAGTCCATTGAGCTATCTGGCTGGCCCTACATTTTGATACGTTTTTATAGGCAGTATATCCCATAACACTTTTCAGCATAAAATAAATTTAATATAAAACATCTCGATATAGACAAGAATGAGACGTTTGACTTATAAGGAAAAATCACTTTAAGAAGTGTTTTATTTTAATATGATTGCCATGCCTGGGGTTGTAAGGTCTGGATTACATCACTGTTCACATCTAGCGGCTGCCCAGTGTGAGAATCAGGTGAAAGCTTAAGAGTTGTGAACTTGAGACATAGTGGTGCATACCTCTAATCCTAGTCCTTGGAGGCTGAACAATAGGATTACAATAAAAATTCAAAGCCAGTCTGGAGTACACAGCAAGTCTCTCTCTCTCTCTCTCTCTCTCTCTCTCTCTCTCTCTCTC